ATCTTGGCCTCTTCAGATGTCCTCAGCATCACATATGCCAATCTTTAGCTGATTCAGTTTACGTGATATCAAGAAATGGCTGGACACAGTAGCTGTTGCAAAGTCTGTAGGTCCTGACAACATTTGGAGATTGAACATTTGGTACTGAAGACCCGTGCTCCAGAACCTGCTGCACTCCTACCCAAGCCGTTCTAGTACAGCATCAACACTGCCATGTTCCTGACAATGTGGAAAATTGGCAACGTTTGTCTTGCAAACAACAAATAGGAGAAATGCAACAGGCCTCATTAGTCCACTCCCAATAATCAGTAAAGTGATGGAAAATGTCACCAACAGAGCTATCAACCACTGCCTGCTTAGCAAAACCCTCTCTCTGACTCAGGTTGGCTTCTGCCAGAGCCTACGGTTCAGCTCAACGTGACAGCCATCACTTGGACCAAACCTTACCTATCCATCTGTAGCCAAAGAACATCCATAATTGGGCTCACTTCTCAATCCCCCACTATTATCTCCCTGAAGTGTGTCAAATATCTGTTTGTGGTCCCAACTCCACGACATCATCAAAGAAGTGGATCAGCTTCATATATGTGCTGACATCACCTCTTCAGCCTGTACCCTTGATACCTCTACTAATATCCAGCTTTGATTGGTCTAATTTTTTCCATTCAAACTTTCAGAAGACAGAAGCCATAGTCTAAAGCCCATTGCCCTTGTCGCACGCGATCAAACAACAAGGAAATGAGCTTGTAGCGCAGATTGTAATTGGCAAGTATCACAGAGATGTGGCTGCAAGGGGATCAGGGCTGGGAACTAAATATCTGAGGATACACGGTCTATCAAAATACAGGCAGATGGCAGAGTTGGTGGGGTTGCCTTGCTAGAAATCAAATCAATAGAAAGAACTGATATAGAGTTGAAAGGCATAGAAATTGTATGGGTTGAGGAACGGCAAAGGCGTAGAGACTCTGATGGGAGATGTGTACAGTTCTCCTAGCAGTAGTCAAGATGTGGTGAGAAAATAAATCAGGAGACAGAAAAGGCATGTAAGAATGACACTATTACTGTCATCATGGGGGACTTCAATATGCAGGTGGACTGGGAAAATCAAGTTGGTAGTGGATCCCAAGAAAAGGAAATTATGGAATGTCTACAAGATAGCTTTTTGGAGCAGCTTGTGGTAGAGCCCACTCGGGAACTCACAATTCTGCATGTGGTACTGTGTAATGAGGCATACTTGATTAGGGAGCTTAATATGAAGGAATCCCGAGGGGACAGTGACCATAATATGATAGAGTTCACCCTACAGTTTGAGAAGGAGAATTTGAAATCTGATGTAATCGTCCTACAATTGAGTAAAGGTAACTACAAAGACATGAGGGAGGAGTTGGCGAGAGTTTGGAAGGGCAACCTAGCAGGGAAGATGGTGGTGCATCAATGGCAGGAGTTTCTGCATGTTACAAATTTAATGATGGGCAAAGCATTTAAACAAATGAACGAAAAATTTTAAAAGTAAGGCATTGGGACAGGGAATCAGTGAAGGTCAGTAGGGGCAAGTACTGTGGAAGAGCATAGCAGTAGTCAAAATTAAAAAAGACAAATGCTGAACACTAAATTGACCATTAGGTATAGGAGTAGAACTAGGTCCATCACTTCTGCTCCACCATTTGCTCATGGCTGATGCTTCTCAACCCCCTTCTCCCTGTAACCCATGATCCCCTTACAAATCCAGAACCTATCTCTGTCTTAAATACATAAGTTCTCTTGAGAGTGGAAGGTGAACAGCATCAAGTTCCTTGGAGTGACGATAACTGACAACCTGTCCTGGTCTTCCCACATAGGTGCGACAGTCAATAAGGCACAACAACGCCTCTTCTTCCTCAGGCAGCTCAGGAAATTTGGCATGTCCATAAGCTCTCTCGCCAACTTCTCCAGATGCACCATTGAAAGCATGCTGTCTGGGTGCATAATGGCCTGGTATGGCAACTGCTCTGCCCAAGACTGTAAGAAACTACAGAAGGTGGTGTGCACAGCCCAGACCATCATGGAAGCCAACTTTCTATCCATGGACTGTGTTTACATGGCTCGCTGCCATGGAAAGGCTGCCAACATCATTAAAGACCCATTGCATCTTGGTAATGACCTCATACATCTTCCGTCAGGCAGAAGATACAGAAGCCTTGAGCAGGTTCAGGAACAGATTCTTCCCAACCGTTATCAAACTGATGAATGGATTCTCTAGCCTCAAATAACGCTGATCTTGCCAACGTTGATCTCGCCTAGCGCACGCCCTGTTAAACTCTCCCACAATCAAATATGTTTCAGCACGCTTTCTACTCACTCTTTTAAACTCTGCAGCCTATTTGACTTGATCTGTCGTAGTAGACATTTTCATCTCAGAAATCAGTCTAGTGAACTTCTGTTGCACTCAAAGACAATTATATCCTTTTTTAGATATGAAGCATGCACTCTAGATACATTTGTCCCCAAAGCCCTGTACAATTGCAACAAGATTTCTTTACACCTGCGCTCCAGGGCCTTTGCAATAAAGAACTTCATACCATTTGCCTTCGCATTTCCTGTGCATGCCAAATTCCTTCCTCTGTTTCATGTTTGAAGCCAACCAATTTCTCTGAACATCAACACCTAACAGTTTCTTAACGTGTAAAAAAAAATTGAAGTGGTTCCATTTTTCCTACTGAGGTCAATTTGCTCAAATGTCCTCCACCAGCTTGCCCCCTCCTCCACTAGCTTGCCCACTCCTCCATCAGCTTGCCCACTCACTTGATCTGTCTAGCCCCCCCTTTCAGACTCTTCGGGTGGAATTTTCATTACAGGTTTGAAACTGCTTCTGAATCCCAATGCTGCTTGATGCTGTTGTTGGACAATCCATTTTGGAGCATTTTGAAGGAAGGTCCAAGTAGTGGTGCACGAACTGAATTAGCGCCAGCAGACTCTAAGAGATGGGCTGTACAGGTGGTGGGTCTGACCTATGTATGTGATAACTGGCTATCGTGGCTGGGGTTACCAGCATTCTGGATGACTGCATGGTCCAGAACACAGTGAAGCAGCCACAAGACATGCATCTACAGAAGGCCAGATTTCTCACTGGGGATGCTGTCAGAAGTGGTGACTATATATTTCTGGAGTGCGACAAGAGGAACGTAACCAGTCATAAAAACCCATGTCGGCTGTCTCTGATCAGTTAAAAATTTTCAAGGTGTTCAGCTCCCTGTTCTTAACCATCAACTTTAATAATTTCCTGTCAATAGGTTTTTAGACTAGTTGGTCTCTACCTCCTTTTGCTTTCTCACCTTTCTTATATAACAGAGTACATCACATTTTTCAATATTAGTAAATGATTCCCAAATTGAGAGAATACTCGAGGATTGCACTTGTGGTATCTTATAAGAAATGTTTGGAGGGATATGGGCCAAGTTCAGGCAGGTGGGACTAGTTTAGTTTGGGATTATGGTCAGCATGGACTGGTTGGACCGAAGGGTCCTTTTCTATGCTGTATGACTTTGTTACTCTATCTAAAATACTCTAACCTACTTATTTTAAATACCTAGATGGAAGCTATCTGGCTTTGGCTATTTGCCATATTTTAATGCTCTGATTTTCTCCATTATTGTTTTCTTGCTTGTCTCAATTTTGTTGAAATATATCTGCGATCCACTGGCAGCATCTTTGAACTAAACACTGATGCAAAGTCATTTCAACATATCCCTGGTGTCATTGGTAGCATCATCATTATCAGGGTTCATCGGGCCCACTCTGCTGTACTGGTTGCACTATTTCTAAATGCACTTGGAAGGGTTTTCAGCTCGGTCTTTATAGCCTTTGTGAATTGTTCCCATTCTCCCATTAATAGCTTTCGCTATGTGCTTCATCACCCAATGCTGCTCTTTGCATTCACCAGGATTTATGCCACTTTTTTTTATGCTTTTGTCTTTTACTTTTATTTTGTATCTTAACTCTCTAGTTGTCTGTGACTGTGTTTTCTTTAGGAACAAAGCCCTTGTCCATTAGGTGTATAATCTGGTTCTGTATTGCATTGAATTCTTTTTGAAAACCTCTCACTTATTTTTCTGTCCTTTACTCTATTGGCATATCTCCCTATTTTCCTGGGGACCATTTCTGTTTCATCCTATCAAAGCCAATCTTACCTAAACCTAGAATAATAGAAGCTCTGTTTAAAACAAATTGGTACACTTTGTTGGTCTCCTAATATTACAATCACATTCTTCCTATTACTGTGGAATATGATGTTGGCATCATTGGCAAGACTGGAATTTTTGCCCAACCTGAGTTGCCCTCGAACCGGTTGGCTCAGAACTGAGGAAGGATCAACGGACCCGAAACGATAACTGATTTCTCTCCACAGGTGCTGCCAGACCCGCTGAGCTTTTCCAGCAACTTCGGTTTTTGTTTCAGATTTCCAGCATCTGCATTAACTTCGATAAGTCGATTCAAGTGGAGATGTTGCCTCCTGTACCTTAATGTGGTTGTGTGTTGTTGTTAAAAATAATACTCATGGACAGTCAGAAAATGCTCAAGTGGCTGAGTGATCGAAATCAGCCAACAGATCTCCTCTTGTTGCTGCCATACATCCAGCTGCGCCAAGATAAAGATTAGTGCAAGCAGAATTCAAACGGGAGTCAATGCAGAGAGAGAGAGAAACACCAGCAGTCAACTTGAAAAAATATAGGTGTTCACACAACAGTGGAGTTTGAAAAAGCGAGCACTGCAACATTGCAGTGAGCAAAAAAAAAATTGTAAGTTCAACGCGTAGAGACTTCCCTATGATAAGAACAGATATTGAGGAATTGAGGTTGATCTAAAGCCACGTGAGACAAAATGAGAGGGAGAAGCAGTCAGCTGGACAGAACCCAAACAGATTTAAGCAGAAAACTAAAGATGCAGAGCAGAGAGAAACTGTGTTGACCGATTTACTGATTGCACTGGAAATCCCCATTGAAATTACAATGAAAGCGCTCCAGAATAGAAGTGGGTTTTACAAATGATCACAAATTAAGAATACGTTTTCCTTTAAAATTTCACAAAGAGACACTTTCCACGCTGTTCTGGGCTTCTGACGAAACGGGTCTTTTTCTGTATCGTTCCCCTCTGTGTTGTTCCAAGTACGGACCCCAGTCAGGGGTTGATGCGCAAGCGGCAGAAAATTTCTGCGGAAGGAAAAGCAAAAGAAGTTTGATTATTTCGACCTAATTTCAACCAGATCAGTAACCTGTAACCGGGGAAAGAAATCCCAATCTTAATCAGTTTATTTTGCGATGCGGATCTCACTTCCTGCTCCGGCATTCCTGACCCAGTCCTAGAATCCCAGTGATGGCTCCTCCCTGTTTATTAAAGGGACCCCAGCAGCAGTTGGAATGGCTATGTCCTGCTTTCTTTGGGAAAACAGAAAAATGATGGCACCAAGATGTGAAAAAACTCCTTTCAAACCCCTGCCCCCTGCCCCCTACCCCACTCTCTGACTCCTTTCCCAAGGCTCAATGTGATGGGATGGGGGCTGGAAGGGAGGGATTGTTCCCCATGGAAAGAAGGGGGGCCAGCTGCCTAGTTGTGGTTGGAGTTTGCAGAAACAGTAGCAGCGGTAGGACTCTCCTGAGAACATGGATACAGCGCCTAGGAGGTTTAATCTCCTAAAAAAGGAAAGGAAAGGTCAATCACAAAGCACCTACAGGTGACCGTCCCAACTCTCTGTCTACCCCAGCATTCTCCTGCACAGCATTGTCAAACCAAATTGCCTTGCACCTCTACTCATCCATCCCTCTTGAAAACAATTCTGACATTGTAATGGGGGAGGGCAAGTTTACGCACTGGAGAAAATATAGTTGTGTAAATCACTACCTGTTAACGGAACAGGCGGCCGTGAAGCTATGCTGTGAGGAAGAGTTCATTCTGAACTTTGAAGTGAAGTAGTTTCTCGGGTAGAGTAATTTTACCTAGGAACTCTACATTTTGTTTTCAGATTGTGGGTGTTTTCTTTAAGATGTAGCGTCTTAAGTCTAAAGAAGGCAAACCCCACAGGTAGCAGCAGGGATTTGGTTAGGCAGGGAAGAGGAGTTGGTGAGGGTTAGAGTGGAGGGGTTGGTGAGGGTTAGAGT